GGTAGAATAGGCTCTTCTCCCCTCTCTCTGTGGAGCGAGCAGCTGCTCCAGAAACATGGCTCCCTCCTTTCCTTTATTGGCTCTTGCCGGTATTTGGTTCGTGCCATCACCGGCTCTCTCTCCTCATGACACTATGGTTCTGCAATTTAAGTTCTCAGTAAGTTAGCCCTTGATATGACCAGATGTCAGCACCCGATATGAAGTCAAGAGAGGCCCACTTATACCAAACCTGTATTTCAACTTCAGGCAGAGTAGCAATTGGAGTTCTATCAATTAAAAAGAGAGAATGTTTTATATTACAGTACAACATTTATGGTTTTTTTCCATACCCTTTTGCCTCATATTATATAAGTTAAACTCACTTTAGCCATTCATTAAATGCTAGTTATGCACAGGGTACACTAGTTTAATAACTATGCCCATTTTCTACAGATATCAGCACAGATTATGATTGGGTACACTGGTATAGTTGCATTTAATCCAATTAATTTGCTTCAGTGCAAATTAAGAGAGAGCTCCATTCCCTGTAATTTATCCTGCCATTGAAGATGCTTGAGGAGATGCACCCACTTATTCCTTACTTCATTTGATTCAATCTCTATGAGTACATAATAATCACAGACATGCTGGCCTAAATTTTATAGCTAGTCTCTACTTGGTGTAATTGTGTCCCCTGACTGAAAACAAGTGATTGTAGCTCCCATATTCCATGACATTCTTGTGCACTACACAAGCATATCGTGGTCTCCAGCTGAGCCCTCTTTACCTGATGAAGTGCATCAGTGTACCAACACCAGATATGGTTCCTCACAAGGGAGTTTCTAGCAGGTGAAATCCAGGTGTATTTTGTGAAATGCACATTTAGAAATAAATACATTAGTTCAGTCTATTAGTCAAAATAAACTAAAAAATGGCCTTTATGAAATTTAGCATGTGTATTAGCTTTTCCTTTCTTCTAAATTAACTTAACAATGGAAAGGCAGAAATACTTCAATCCTTCCCTACAGTTAAGATTTATTTCAGGAAATCAGACTGTTAATTTAACTTAATTATAATTACTGTTACTGCAACTAATTGTTACTATGATATAGGCTGCCAGCAGTCACCTCACCAGTTCAACTATCTTAGAATTTGTCTTCATTGATTTCATACGTGATTTGAAATAAGTAGTTAACAGAGCAAGGTAACTATCTTTTTTTCATCTTGATGATATTATATTAATTTCATTGTATTGTTCTCTGTATGAAAAGAGTTTTGAAAAACTGCTGAATAGGACCTTGCTTGAGAACTGCACCACAAGTAATATAACAAGCTTACTCTCTTATGTTCATTTAAACAATAATGGAAAGAATACATTTTTAATGATAAACAAACCCTTATACAGTATGTACCAAATAATGGCCTAGGAAAGAAAGTATTATTACATTAAAGAATCAGAAGTCAGACTAAGGGTGAAAGCTATATGGGAATTTCTCATTTAACAGTTATTTAAAAGTGTGGGCATGTCTACACATGTGCTTTATTGCACAGTGAAGCATCACTGTCTATGCATGAGAGGCAATTAGGTCAGTGTAGATTAATTTACTAAGCCATCAGATAGTACTTGTCTGGTGGGACTATCTGACAGCAGAGTAAATTATGGCACTTAAATGCATGTGTTGATGGTGATGTCTGGATTAGTTTACTCTGGCTCAAATTGTGCAGAGTTTATTCAATTGCATTAAGTGCATATGTAGACATGCCCTGTTTATACTATAGAGGAAAAAGGCCACCCTTGGCTATAAGCAACTAATATCAGTGGGATTGCATCAGGAAGAAGGTTAGGTTATGTATTTGTTCAAATATTTTACCTATGTCAGAAATACATGCAAAACTCTGAAACTCTTGATTCAGAGATGATACCTTTGATTAGATCAACTAAGAAATGGCAAAAAAAAAAAAATGTCTTTCTTTGCAAGCTTTCGGGCACATACACCCTTCTTCAGGCTGAGGGAAAATAAAAGATGGTAAACATCCCCAGACGTAGAAAATAAACTTCATTTTGCACAAAGGAAGCTGAAGGTAGAAGTCTGTTCCTCTGGGCCTATGCTAGTTCCTTTGTGTGACTTGCTCTTTGGTGTGCAGGTAAGGCAGGATTTCTTTCAGTGTCAGAAGGTGTCAGATGGCTGAAAGGCAGGGAAGTGTAGAAATCTTTCTTTGTTGTTTAGCAATGAAGTTTATAATTCCAAAATCAGCTAAAATTTGGCATCTTCCTAGTTTCAGAGAGACATCCACCTTCAGCTTCTTCTGTGAAAAATGAAGTTTATTTTCTACTTATGGGGACTTTTACCATCTTTAATTTTCCCTCGGCCTGAAGAAGGATGCATGTGCCTGAAAACTTGCAAAAAAATATTTTTTTTTTTATTTCTTAGTTGGTCTAATAAAAGGTATAATCTTACGAGTTTTGCATTTCTTTTTGTCTCAGATTGACATGGCTACCAAATATATTACCTACATGAGTATATTTACATTATTTTCTGGGATGCCTCTTCTGCAGTGGGCACACCAACCACAAGAAAGGACTCCTACACAGGACTAATTCCTGCAACAGTGGGAGTGTCTATACATACACTATAATGTGCATTAGCCTATTTCAATGCACGTTAAGGCATGACTAAAAAAGTGCTAATTAGTTAATGCACATTAAAACAGGCTAATGTTCATTAAGTGTCACTTAAAAGCCATGCTCTTTAGTTAATATGCTTTTCCTAGTACCTCACACTGAAGGTACTAGACTTAATGAGTGTGATCTAAAGTGCATTAATGCACATGTTGATGCACCCAGTTACATGCCTAAATCTAAAGCAGTTTCTTCTTATGTGTGTGCACTGCCAGAGAGGAAGAAGGAGAGAATGTTTGTTGTTGTTGTTTTCTCCTTTGTCCTTGGCCCTTTAAATGTAGAGGAGAAGCAAATAAGAAAAGTGGGGGAATGCTACTTGACTGTGATTTAAAAGTGCTTATTGACATTTCAAACAATTTGTAAAAAAGAATGAACTATGTAGGGCGTATATTAAAACCACAACACACAGAAGCTTTATGAGACAGCAGCCAGTGCTTCCAATAGGTCCTTGATACATAGAATTAGGTTAGACCATACAAATGAGTCAAATGAGCCAAACCTGGCATTTTCTAGAGGAAGATATACCCAGATTATACTAGGTGAACAGGATTCATGAGTTGTAGCTAGTTGTCAAGAACTAATCCGACAAAGGGATTCAGTTTTTGTACTGAGGAATCTATTGACTGTGTACAGACATTCAGGGAAGACAGATCATGTTAAAAATGGCTACCTGATCTAACTTAGTTCACCCAAATGTGGACTTTACACTAGTTAGGTATATCTATGTGCAAATTGCACGCAAGTTCAAGACAGTTAGATCAGTCTAAAAACAGCTTGTCCAATCTAAGTTAAGTGTACCTCTGAGGTACCACTGAGTACCACTGAGTCTAACTTAGCTCAGGTCTGGTGAGACCGATCTAATTGAACTTTTGTATGGTTCCCACCCCCAGAGACAACCCCCCACCATGGACTAGCCAGCCCCACCCCCCAGCCTACCAAAGCCCCAGTTCCACAAGCCACTCCCAGTGCCTGTTTTATCAGAGTTTACCAATGTTGGGAGTCATGCAAGTAAGTTGGGGTGTGGGGAGGGGCAGGCAGGATGGGAGGTTCACTGGGAGGGGTTGTTTGTCTGGGGGTGGGAGCATCAGGAGGCTAAAAACAGCCCCTGGTCCTGGGGGTGGGGGAGAGAACCCCCATCCCCCCAAGCCCTCCCACAGACCCTGTACACCCCCTGATCTCACCAAGCCCTCCCTGACACCAGTACCCCCACTGCAGACCCTGCCTGCCCTCCCAATCCCCCAATCCTCCTGCAAACTCTGCCTACCCCCGTGATCCTCCTATAGCTCGCACCTTCCTACTCATAAACCCTTTGGACCCCCTGATCCCCACACCAGAGCTTTCTTGACCACCCCGATCCTTTCAATCTTCCCCCATGCTGATTTACCTTAGATTACGTGGCTATTTTTAACTTAAACTAACCTCCTTCTAACCTCCCTGAATCTGTATGTAGTCATCATTTCTCACTTTTAGGCTCCTTTCATCCTTCCTGTTGAGCTACTGCTGGAGAGAGAGGGCACCCCACAATCAGGGTGCTCACCTGGAAGAAAGGAGACCCAGGTGCCAATTCTGCTCCAAAAACTGTTTATACATTTTGTTCAAGGATTGGTTCATGTAAAATACATAATCATTTGAGCAAGGACTAGAGCCCAGGACTCTCTTCTTTCAAGTTTACCAATGTTGGGGCACAAACAGGGAACAGAGAGAGACAGGGAAGACAGGGGAAAGAAAGCAGAGGTGACAGGGCACAAGTGGGGGAACAGAGAGAGAGAGGGATCAGGGAGAAGGAAGAAGCAGCAAGACAAGTGAGAATGGACAGAGAGATCAGGGAGGGAATGCAGAGAGAGATGGGGATTGGGGAGAAGGCAGAGGTGGCAGGACACAAGCAGGAAGCTGGGAAGTCAAGGTGGAGGAAGATGGAGGCAGAAATGGAGGACAGAGCTGGGAGACCAAAAAGCAGGGCCAGGAAGTCAGCGGAGAGGGAGAGAAAGCCAGAGTCAGGGGAGATAGAGGCGGCAGAGAGGAATGAAGCCCAGAGGGAGGTCAGAAAGACAAGGATTTAGTTGGGAGCCTGTAGCAAGATAGAGACCAACTTGGGGTCAAAAATATCAGTTTTATTAAACAGGCAGTACACTATACAGCTCACAAAGTTATTGGCTCCTACACACACACAAGCACTCACACACACACCCACACAATGGTAGGAGAAGAGAAAAAGGCTTGGTGGAGAGACTGAAGTTAAAGTGTGTAGGGACAGAGTCCAGGTCCCTTGCTTGGGGAAGGAAGGTGGGTGATAGCTACCTACCCTGGGCTGTGAGTTGATCCTCAATGGCTAGTCGGGGTCTTGTCCAGCAAAGTGTTGTCCAGAGGGTATCACCTCCAGGACTTCTGGGTGAATAGGTAGCATAACACAATGCCAATCCAGATGGAGAGGGCATCCCAAGGAGGTCACACTCTACCACCCCTTTTATAGAGGAGGGTGTGGCAGGGCGCTGTGTGCGCATGCCACTTTAAGGGCCTGGAGCCGACAGCCACCAGGTGCCTGACGAGGGCAGCCATTTTGGAGGCAAGGGCTGCCTATATAAACAGGGCAGTTTGGCTGCTGGAGGGCAGGCAGGAACATTGTCTGGTTGGAGAACTAGTGAGATCATCTGGAGGTAAGGGAGGAGCTGTAGGGGATAGTAAGGAGGGTCCGGGTCCGGGTCCGGACCTGGACCTAAAACTGCACCCTGCTGGGAGTGGGTGGCCTGATGGGGCTCTCAGTGGTGTGGGAGCTCCCAGGAAATGCCAGGCCAGTTACCACCCTAGTGAAAGGTGGGTCAAGGTGCCTTAACCCCTTGCCTCCACTGGGTGGGTAACCCTGTTTGAGGGGCCCAGAGGGCAGACCCTGGGAGAGAGTGAGGGGCTAGAGACCTGACCTGAACAAGAGAGTACCCTCGACTGGCCCATCCTGGGGCCAGGACCAGGAAGGTCAAAAGGGCCAGGGGCCCACTGTGAGGGATGCGCAAGAGCCAGAGGTCCCGACTGGCCTGGAGGTGGGCCAGGGCTGGTAGCCAAAGGTCCTGGGGGGACCACACCCGAGAAGGGAAAATGGTTTCAGGGGGCTAGTAGCCCGAATGAAGGTGGAGAGGCTGTCTGATTGGAGGGATCATAGAGGGGTCCTGTTAGGAGGATTTGGGGGCTGGTGAGGATGTAAACACCAAGATGCCATCTGCGAGGCTTGGGCTGCAGTATTGGGGAGGAAAGGAGCTGCAGAGAGTGCCCCCTGGCATCAAGGCACCAAAATGGGCAGCCTCCTATGTAATTGACATCCATTAATGAATCAATTAACACCAAGGCGTGGTGGGCGAGAGGGCGGGTGGTTGGCCCAAGAACAGGTGGGCGGGCAACGGAGATCAACCCTGAGGAGGCCCCCCCTGTTACAGTGGGCTACCTATGTCTCCTATGGGAGGGATATGTCCAGGCAAGGACAGTCCTGCTCAGATGCCTACGTACAGATCCAGGTGTCCTCATTGTCTGGTAGGACAAAATGGTGGGGTTGCTGGTTTCTGTAGGGTCTTTAGATTTCAAATCCTGGGTTTCTGTTCTGTTCCTGGGTGAGGTCCGTGGTTCCTGTAGTTGATGCAAGGCAATGGTCCAAGTCATTGAGTTGATCATTCAGTAGAGGCCTGCTACCATTGTACCTCAAGCACCCTCATTCATTCAGGAACCAATATACATGAGACTGGTTAGACATGTCACAGTTACAACATAGGTTACACCTGGCCAGAGGACACAAGATGGAGGCTTGACATTACTTTACAGACAGAGGCCTAAATCATATAAATTCAATACAAAACAGTAAAAATCAACACAAACATAATAGAATGCTATTTACAATATAAAAGGGGGCTTGTTACTACGAAGGAGTATAAGAACTTGGCTTACCTAGTATTACTTGTAATCACTTATAAGGGATAGAGAGGGCAGAGAGAAAGTCAGAAATGATTGGGGAAGGGGAGGGAATGTATTTTTAAATAATTAAAAACAAAAAGAAAAACGGGGTTTTGCTATACTATGTTCGGTCATTTCTCCCCATGACCTAGCTTTTTTTTTTTTATTTCCTTCCTACATAATTCTTTCATCCTAGTAAAAATGTCCCTGCATCGTTCTACATTTTCCTCTCTCACTTGTCTTGTATTTTCTAACTCACTCCTTCCTCTCTCCTCCTTTACTTCAGCATTAACAGAAGTAGAGGTACTAGCCGGCTCTTGAGTCTCCTTCTTATAGACTCTACAGAAGATAAGGCACCGCCCGAGCAGAACTGAGCAGCCAAAGGGAGCAGACCAGGAATGTAAGTCATTCAATTGAAAGCCAACAACAAAAAGTTTTGTTTGCATATAAGTATCCTTTCTGTTTATAGTTGATGGTCTGTAGAGCTAATCAAGTGATTTGATTTGACAGACTGATATTTTCTATGCTATGCTTAAAAGTGGGCATGCCTACACATGTGCCCAACTGCACAGTTGTTACTGCGCATCACAGTTCATGCCTGCTGACACTGTCGCCATAGTGTCTCATGTAGACGCACCCAGTTTTCAGTTAACTGGGTTAACTGAAAACTGGTGAAAAACCAATAAAAGTAAAACCAGGGCACCTGCTCCCAAATTATCTTGCCAACTTCCTGTAGTCTCTAAAAAATTTTTTTTTTTTAAACAACAACAAAAAATGTAGCTTCCCAGTTGCTGATCTATGCAAACAGAAGAAACAGTTAAAATGAATATTTGCAAGGGTCTGATGCAATGGGATGGCTGCAGGAGTGATGGAATGAACTGTGGTTTTTGAGGGGAGGGGTTGTAGGGAAGGAGGAAATCAATGCAACAGTGAAACAATCCCAAACAATCAGTTGATATTTTCTTTAGTCACAAAGATACAAGCCTTTTTTACAGTAATGGAGATTGGCCTGTATATTTAAAGCTCTACTAAATAAGGGCTATGGGTCTTGCCTTCAAGCTTCAGGAAGCTACCCAGTTGGTTTTACCTTCCATTTGTCATCTGGATCCACATCAGCAGATGTTGTGATGTCATTAAATTACTGCTTAAGTGCCTCTCTCTTTATGTCCAGTCATTAAAACTGAATCTTCCTAAAATATCTCAACAGCTGAAATATGGATTTTTGTTTTCCAAGGCCAGAAAAGAGGGTGATTCTGCAGACTTTCTCACTTGATTTTGTTCCCTCTGATGGTCTGTTTGAACTGGAGAGTATCTGGTAAGGTTCTAAGCATTTTGGCTAGGGACAGAGATTATACCAGTTTGTGTGTAAGTGATAAGAAACTGGTTCAAATCTGTAATACAATAGAAGTTCAGTATACATAAACCACTTTCAAAATGGCCATAACTAGTTTAAGATAAACCTGGATAGATGAAGTATCAGACTTAAGGGTGCAGACAGAAGTTATAATTTTTGCCCTATCTGGCCACAGAAAGCGGTTTATAGCTGTGACCAAACACGTGAACAGCTGCAGATAGTTTTAAAATGGTCAATCATTGCATGTGGTATCAGATAAAGACATTTCAAAATGTTACTATTGGAACCTGCATGCAGGCTCCGAGCCCTCAGCTAGATTCCCCTTCCCTCTCCACTAGAACCAACAGTGGACTTTGTTCAGTTTGGGGTAATGTTGTAACTCGGATCATTTTGCAAAAATAGTTCTGAGTTACAGCTGGGAGCTGCCCTTCTGTCTGCATCCTTTAACTGATTTAGGTTAAATCAGTTTATTGAACTTCTGTCCCAGATCCCCTCCAGATTCAAATTAACTCACTGTCCCTCATCATCCTAGGATGCTTTGCTCCAGTGTCTCCCAGCTTCCGGCCTGGGCCACTGCAGGCCATGTGGATGCATTTCTGGAATCAAAAGTGAATATCTGTTCACTTGTTTATTGGTTCAATTTACACCGCTTAGACTAACTTGCGAAGATTGAATTGATTCAGTCTTGGGCTTTTTGACTGTCTGTACTTGGCCTTTGTCAGCAAACCAGGTACATATGAATATTAAATTGCTGAATAATACCACTGGCTTCAGCACACTCTGAATCACTGAATAAGGATACACCCAATCGCTGCTTCTTTATTTTATGTGTTTATAAGTAAACTACTAAGCTGATGACAGTAAAAGTAAACACTTTTTTTTTTTCATGTGGTGACAAAGCAATGCAATCATACTATATTCTACTCATTACTAAGTTATGAGTTTGAATGCCTTCTTGATGGCCTCAACCTGCATATATTCATCAGCATATCCAAATAGTCATCAACTGTGTAAAATAGCTAAGGAAAAGTTGGCTTTATAGGAAAAGTTCTTCTATTGCCATGGAGTCTTCAGATCTACCCTGAATAATTATTATGGTGAAGAGGCAGTCATTGCATACCAAAATGCGAAGGAGAAAAGTTTTCCCACTCCTCCTGGCATTCTGAATTTTAATAACTGTATTGCTAGGGATGGTTGTGGACTCTGGAAAACAGACAAAAATGATCCACTGAAAACTATGAGGCCTTGGATAGATGTGCAAGTTGAAGTGCTCCAAATGTCCTCAGAGTACTCCAGAACAAGGATGTGCACATTCACAGAGAAAGTAGTGCTTCATAAATGATCTGTGAAGAGGAATACAAAAATCTAGAACTCTTGGTTCCAAAATGAAACCTTTTATTAGACCAACTGGAAAATGGCAAGAAAATTGTCCTTGCAGAAAAGGACAATTTTCTTGCCATTTTCCAGTTGGTCTAATAAAAAGTACCATTTTGGAACCAAGAGTTCTAGATTTTTGTATGTCTTTTTGTCTCAGACCAACACAGCTACCAAGTACACCCCTGCAAAGAGGAACATTTTTGAAGTAAAGCACTTCATTTTGAAGAATCTTCTGAAATATCTGCACTTTCCAACAGTTCTCATGTATCCCACAGTGCTTCACTTACCCCCCCGCCCCCTTCCATGAAGGACAGTGTGATGGACTGCCAAAGAAAACTCTCCTGTGAATTTCTAGCAATCAGACGCCAGGTCATGCATGCCTTCCCAGCCATTTAAAAATGCTGCAGGAGGTGTGGTTGGCACCACACATTTGTACAACACTTCAAGTGTGATGAATTTAAAGACTCTGAGATTTAGAGTGCTTCAAATGTGTATCTGTCTAGGCTTGATGAGAAACTATTTCCCCCTAAATTATCCCATTAATGAGTAATATCCAGCTGACTCTAAGTTACCATAATCCTTGCCCTGGATTCACACTTGTTTAGAGATTCACTGAGAAGGTCTAATGTGTGCATTTCTCTCATTAACTTGCATGCACAGAAAATTCAAGGGAATGAACAGAAGTGAATGCAGTCTGAAGTCACCTTGACTCTGTAGACTCCTATCATTTTAGGGATAATCTGGGGCAGGAGGCAGGTTGGAGAGGGAAGAAAGCTCACTAGTGCAACTCCATTGTGAGCCTGAGAGTGAGCCTCTATATCCACCCTTACATGCTAAATTTTATTTGCCTTGAAGGATTAGACACGAGCCAAAATGGGGCATATCCTATGTCCCCACCACTCCAAAAGGGTTTTGGAGACATTCTGTGATGGGAACATCAGACTTTTAAACCCCTACAATAGTCATCTCAATGAAAAATGGGTAACTCCAAGAAGCCAGACAACTAGCTTTTACACTAGGGTAGAGTAAATAATGTTGTAGCCAAATGTGTTGAAACCACAGACACAGGATCATTTTTATTAAAAAGAAGGAGCTCACTTCATAAGGTTGGGATCAAGTCGTCATGCTAATTATTTACCTGTAGTTACGCAAACTGGACAGGTCTTACTTGTAAGTGTACAACTTCACCAGACACTGTAGAGGTTATGGTCTTAGTAGGATTAAAGGAGTAGGCATTATAAAAATTCCTAAATGAACAAACAAGCGTAATTCAGGTCATAAGTCAAACTTCAACTGCAGGTCCTAAGTTCAACTCCTAGTGGTAGTCATTACCCATTCTTAATGTTTATTTATTTTAACTATACTTGACTATATTTAAATCACTGCAAACTTGACTATTGGCATGTGGTGCACATATTGTACATTGCTTTTCTGCAGCCTCCTTGAACTCAAAGATCTCAAATTAAGTCATGCCAAAATACTTTAGGTGGTTTAAACAGTTAGTCTAATAAATCTTTTTAGAAGTTTATAACAGTGTTAGCACTCAAAAGGGATTTAATTTTTATGTCACTTAAAGAAATCTATCCCATCCTCACCACTTAAAAATTTAGGAAATTCAGAGCAAAAGCATTCATTAACTTCATATTGAAGATAAAGGTGATCAACAAAAGCCATAAAACACAAAAGTCAAAATCCCACTAGCAGTATTAATTTAGTTATGTTGTGTGTTTTTTTTTTTTGTGGGTTTTTTAAATTTTTTTTATTCCTGTTTTTCTAATAAACAACAAGATATAAGATAGAGGTTTTAAAATTCATCCAAGTCTATACTTGATCATTAATTTGCAGAACACACTGAAATCTTAACATGTGACTTCTGGAAATGAACATGGGGGGGGAAAGAACACAGAGTAAGGATCCCAGCTTAGAAGAACATGTTCAATTCTGCTGTAAAATACTGAACATCTTGAACTCCCAGGCGATCAAACCATTCAATTTAGCCATGGTGATTTGGAATAGAATCCAGGTTTTAGGACTCTCTGTTCTATGTGCTACACTAATGTACAGCTACTTTAAAATAAGATAAAATTGATTTGATAGTTATTCATTGTAATTGTAACCAACACACCCAGCAGCTGTGTGAAAGTTTGGACTGTGTTACCAGCATAATCACCAGCTTGCAAGGCTAGGCTTGTACTGTGGGCAACTCCCATATTCAATATAGAGCTTTACTAATTAATTCACATACCTGCATATGCCTCAAGATTGGCTGAGGAGATGCAGTAGGTCTGTGAGAACAACATTCATCCTAAGGTTTTTTTAAATTTTGTTGGTAAGTATTCCCAAAGAAACCTCTTTCCACAGCACCTGGGGAGGGGCAGGGAGTGGGGATAATGTATGTTCCAAGGAAAACAATTAAAAAATCAGTATACTGAACATGTCTTGGATAGCAGAATATCCACCACTCCCTTTGGCAGGTACTTTCACAGTGCAAGGCTCTGGTCTCAAAACATAGGTAGAGATCTGTGTCTGCCCCACTTCTCTGCAGAATCAAACTTTAGAACACTTTTTCTGATAGTTTTTCTCTTAATTTCATCCTATTGACTCGTTATGCTTTCTAACTACTTCCTCTCCCCCCCCCCCTTAATATTTGTTTAGGGTTTATTTTCATTTGATTTACAACACTAAAGCATTATTCTGCCCTTTTATTGTGCTTTTCAGCAATGCATCTCAAATCCTTTAGGAAGGGAATACATTACTACCCCTTTTCACAGATGTGAAAACAGGGGGCAATTGTTTAAGTGACAGAACCAAAGTCACTTGAGGGTGGGGGGACATGATAAGGATTTGCAAAATCCTAAATGGCAAAGAGAAAGTCAATAGGGATTTATTATTTACTGCCTTACACAAGACAAGAACTAGGGGCCACAAAATGAAACTAGTAGGTAGCAAGTTTAAAACTAGAAGGAAGTTTTTTCACACAGTCATTTGAGTGTGGAACTCATTGCCACCAGATGCTGGAATTGCAAAAGGAATTGAACCAATTGTTGGAGGAAAAGGGCATTAGGAGCTATTAAGCATAGTATCATAGTACTTGGGGTCAGAAGGGGCCTAAACACCAGGTCCGACCCCCTGCCCCGGGCAGAAACAGGTGCCGGGATCATATCACCCCACCTGTCCAGCCTCCTCTTGAAGATCTCCAAGGTAGGAGAGAGTACCACCTCACTTGGGAGCCCATTCCAGAGCCTGGCAGCCCTAACTGTAAAGTAAATGGGAGCAAGGACACCAGCCCCTGAATTACAAGTCCCTAGACCTTACCTTTTTTTTTTTATTAATATATATTGTGTTTCAGGTGAAGTCAGCCAAATCAGTTTCAAATCATATTGACTGAGCAGAACTCAGTCAAAAAACCATATTGATTGAGCAGGTAGAACTCAATCATTCTAAACACCATGTATGGCACTACAACTGGCGAGCATCCTCCATCCCAGACCTCTCAACCTGGGACTTCGAATACTCCCAAATCCATTGACAGGCATCCTACCTGCAGGCCCAAGTCTGGAGGTCTTGGGATTCAGATGTCCCCAGAAACTACAGGCAAGCATTCTCCATCCCAGACTCTTTAGTCTGGGACTTCAGATACTTTATTAGAAAATGTTGAAGTTTAAGGTTACAAAGTTAAAGCTAAAAGAAATCCAAAGGACCCAGAGTGAGGGGTTACATAAAACAGGATGGGGGTAGGGAAGGAAAGGTAACTAGATTACATATAAAAAGTGCGGTCAACTAACCCAAGGGGCCAGGGGGTGGGGGGAGAGTGATGCTTTTATAGAGTCAAGAATATACTGGGACCAGAGTCATTGCCCTGGGCCAGGATGCACCAGTTGCCCATGGGGGGGGCGGTGGTGAGTGGCCGGAGCTGATGGCGCTCAGCAGTGGTGGTAGCGGGGTCTGTATGGCACCGTCTGTAGGACCCCCCCTGCAAACCATGGGGCCTGGGGTTGTTGCCCTGATTTGGCCCCTCGCAGTGACGGCCCTGCTGGAGACCCTGCACAACGATGCTACGTTTGGGTTTGGAGGTGGTTTACAGAGAGTGCACACTCGGTTACAGGTAGTAGGATGTGGGTGCAATTGTGGGGGCTGGGAAGAGCCCAGGATGGGTGAAGACTTTCTCACTCTATCTTAGCCAAATGATCCCCAAAAGTCCCTCGTTCCCAAACTCTGACAGACGGTGCACTGCCAATTTAAAACAATACAGCCTTCAGTGCCACCAGCAAATTTTTCAGTTCGACCTTGGGTACCACCAACACATTTTCTGTCATAGCAAGTAATTATAATAAATCTGCTAATGTGTACCCCTGACAGGCTGTGTGCTACCACTGGTGGGACTGGTACCACAGATTGGGAGCGGCCGCCCTAGACCTTAAAATAAATGCTGCAAGTGAGAGAGAACCAGTGGGGGGAAATAACGCCCCCCAGTCCCCTCTCCCCATCAGCCTCCACCCTGCCCCCGGGTGTCAGATGACGGGGCAAGATGGACCCGTGTAAAGGCAGCTCTTAGGCTCACGCAAGACGAGCAGCAACACCGAGCGGGAATCTGTAGCCCCCGGCTCTGTTTACCGCTGGGCTGTGGCGGGCGTCTCCCCTCGTGCGGCTTCTCCTCCCACCCCGGGCCAGGGGTGGGAAAGGTGTTTCGGTGCGTGACGTCAGAGGGCGGCACAGGTGCGGCCGGGCCCGGCGGGGAGGGGAACGAGTCCCCGGACGGACGGGCGCTGCTCTTTGCTGCACGGCCGGGGGAGGCCCCGCGCACCGGGAGGTGAGTCTGCAGCTCCTTGCGTGCGCTCCCCCTTCCCCCCTCCCAGCGGCGGCTCAACTTCGCTTTAAACTTCGCCCAGATCCGGGGGCTGCGCTGTCCCCCTTCCCCCCCAGTTGCAAGGTAGCTGGATGCGGGGGGGGGACTAAGGCCCGGAGGAGGGGGCTCGGATCGCCCCGCTGCCAGGGGAAGCCTCCCAGGTGCAGTGCGCTTGCCCCCGCCAGCCCCGGGATCCTGCCCCGCTCTCGTAGTTGCGGGGAGCCCGGCCCGCCCGCCTTGCAG